CTCGTAAGTCAAGGCCCCACTGTATTATTTAACCGGGGTGATGGGGGTCACTAGGCAGCAGAGCTAGAATGTAAGCTGTGTCTGGTACCCCAAAACCAAGCCCTATTCCTTCATGAGGGCCTCTCCCGGCTGGGCCTGCTCTAACACCGGGGAGTAGTCCCTGCCTAAACCTGGGCCGTGGGCTCCCTAAGGCCATTTTCCACCCCTCCCCCTCGCAGGTGCCAAGCAGAGAGATTGACAAGGCCGAGGGCAAGTTTTGGACTCACTGGAACCGGGAAACCAAGCAGGTAAGTCACTCTAGGTCCGAGCAATTCAAGGAACTTCTGGTGGCTGCCCTGGCCATCCTGTCTACCCTCCCAAGACCCCCAGGGGCTCCACTCAGCTTTTCTGTGGTTTTTTTTTTCCAGTTCTTTCTTCAGTTCCACTTTAAGATGGAAAAGCCTCCAGCCCCGCCAAGCCTCCCTGCTGGGCCTCCTGGGGTGAAGCGGCCACCACCCCCACTGATGAATGGTTTGCCCCCACGGCCACCACTGCCTGAGTCTTTGCCTCCACCCCCACCAGGAGGCCTGCCTCTGCCCCCCATGCCACCCAGTGGGCCTACACCTGCAGGGCCCCCAGGTCCTCCCCAACTGCCCCCCCCAGCTCCTGGAGTCCACCCTCCAGCACCAGTGGTCCACCCACCAACATCTGGGGTCCACCCTCCAGCTCCTGGGGTCCATCCCCCAGCACCGGTGGTCCACCCACCAACATCTGGGGTTCATCCTCCTGCTCCCGGGGTTCACCCTCCAGCCCCAGGAGTCCATCCTCCAGCCCCAGGTGTCCACCCTCCCCCATCTGCTGGAGTCCACCCCCAGGCCCCAGGCGTACACCCACAAGCTTCTTCAGTCCACCCCCAGGCCCCAGGGGTACACCCTCCAGCCCCAGGGATGCACCCCCAGCCACCTGGGGTACACCCCCCTCCTCCAGGGGTTCATCCTCCGGCTCCTGGGGTTCACCCCCAGCCTCCTGGAGTTCATCCCTCCAATCCCCGGGGTCCACCCCCCGGCTCCCATGCCCCCGATGATGAGACCCCCGCTGCCCTCCGAGGGCCCTGGAAACATTCCACCCCCTCCCCCAGCCAACTGAAGAGCCACCCCCTCTCACTGCAAGTCTACTTTCCTGTTTTCCTGTCTTTTCTCCCTGATGAAATTTGGTGTTTTTGTACAGGGCTATGCTGCGTCCCTAGATTTCATTAAACAGCCTTCTCAGACACCTGGGTGCACTGCTGTGTCTGTGGGTGGGCAGGGGCACCGTGGGGTGGCCCCTCCACCGTACGTGGGAGTGGTTCAGGGTCAGACTTCCAAGACACTGGCCCATCAGGACACTGGTGGGTGTTCCAACAAGTCATCTGTGTCCTAGAAACTCCAGGATGGAAGACGGACATAGCCAGCCAGCCAGCCAGCTGTGGGTCTGGGGTCCAGCCTGTGGGAGGAGAGCAAAGCAGAGGATGTTCTCTGTCCTTGGGGTCTCCAGGCCAAGATGCCTGAGTTCCTTTTGCACCTTGATTCCTAAGGGCAGGATGAGTGGACAGGAGACTCTTGAGAGCTCCAGCTGAGTCTGGAGACCACCCACCTGGTGGTCTGAACACACCAAGAACTGGTGTCTTTTGGGTCCTCAAGGAGGAGGCTCTGCCCTCCTCCAGGCCCAGCCCTGCAGCTGTTGATGTTTGGTCCATCTGGGTTGGTCACTCCCTGCTCACATTCCCACTGCTGTCTCCAGAGAGAAAAACTCAAGGACAGTTGGACAAATCGGTCACAGGCCACACTTTCTATCACTGGTGGGAAGGAGATAGGCAGCGGGGCCAGAACAGAAGGGGCTTTGAGCTGGCCCAGGCTTGTAGGGGAGCTCAGGCACTGGCCCCCAAGGTCACCTCCTGGGAGGCGATAGGGCTGTCCTCCAGCACAAACACCCTGGGCTGGCCCATATAAGCAGAGTGGCCAAGCCCCTGACAATTCCCAGGATGAGGGCTGCACCTCTCTCTCGGCTGGTCCTGGTGCTATGGGCGATGGGGACCCTGATGGGGGCTGGGACCCCTGGAGAAGAAGCCTTGCCTGGGGAGCCTGCAGGCACCGGGGGTCTCATCTTCCACCAAGACTGGGACTGGCCAGCCCCCCAGGGCTTGCCTCCAAGCAGTCAGCGAGACTCCCTGTGCCTGGTGACGCTGGTTGGTGGCAGCAACGGCAGCAGTGCCCCCCTACAGGTGATGGGAGCCCTGAGGGGCTACGAGCAGGCCTTCCTGGAGGCCGTGCAACAAGCCCACTGGGGGCCTCGTGACCTGGCCACCTTTGGCGTCTGCACCCCTAGCCATGAGCACGCTGCCCTGCCCCTTTTGCAGTGGCTTAGAGTGTGGCTGGGGGAGCCCCGGGGGCAGCGGCTGGTGGTCCTGCACCTGGAGGAAGGTACGTCGGGCCCATGGCTGAGGCTGGGCAGGTTCCTCTGCTGTGGTCCCTAGCCATCATTCCCATTACATGATGACCATTATTTCCCCAAGTAAGACCCCAGACTCCTGACCTGGGGAAGCTGAAGCCTATGGCCCTGCTCACCTGGGCTGGGCTGAGTCTGCAGCCTGGGAGGTGTGTGCCCTTATCTTTGCCAGTGAATGCTGGGCTCCCAGACCACCCCTCCTGCACTGCCCGGGAAGGTCCCCACTCCAGGAAGGAGCATGGGGTTGGGGCCAGCAGTGGAGGAGTGCCCCTCTGACAGCAGGTAGCCCAGAGTAAGAGGTGGCCTGTCCTCAGATACACTTCCGGGAAGGGGCTGCCCACGTGACACGTGGACCTCCACCCAGGAGACCCCCAAACCCAAGAGACCTCAGGGGTTCAGGGATGACAGGCAGCAGCCCGCCACCCACCCTGTCAGTCCTCCCACCCATGTCCTGGCAAGGTCCTGCCCCTTGTGTTGAGGGGTGTCAACCCCCACGAGTGTCCCAAGGCTCCCAGCTGGGGTGGAGCTCTCCCTCCCTGAAGGACAGGCTTGGGCCAGGGGCTCAGGCCTCAGTGGCTCAACTGTCCCCCTTCCCCATTATCCTGGCGGCAGTGACCTGGGAGCCAACACCCTCATTGAGGTTCCAGGAGCCTCCATCTGGAGAAATCAGCCCCTCAGAGATGGCGCTGCTGGTGCTGTACCCCGGGTCCGGCCCAGAGGTCACTGTAACAGGGGCCGGGCTGCTGGGCACCCAGGTACCAGGGTTGGGTTGGGCATTCCTTCACCCCCAGTCACCCTTACCCATAGGCGGGGGTGGGGGTAGGGGGTGGGGGGGGGGGGTAAACCGTCTTCACCTCAGGGAAAGGCTCCAGGGTCCAGAGTCGAACTGGGAAGGGGTGGTAAGGGCAGTGAACAGCAGGGCTGGCAGCCTGCGCCTCCGCCCAGCCAGGCTGAGCTCCCATCTCCTCAGAGTCTCTGCCTATCCCGGGACACGGGCTACCTGACGCTGGCGGTGGACCATCCGGCGGGGGCCTGGCACGGCCTGGGTCTTGCCCTAACCCTGCGGCACCGGGAAAACGGTAGGCTGGGAGAAGAGGGAGCGGGCGGGGCCGCCGCCCTGGATCCCAGCTCCTGACAGCTGGTGCCTTGCCCTCAGGCACCCCCCTGAGCACCGCGCAGCTGCAAGCCTTGCTGTTTGGCGCCGACCCCCGCTGCTTCACGCGGATGACCCCGGCCCTACTCCTGCTGCTGAGGCCCGGGCCCACGCCCATGCCCGCGCACGGTCGGCTGGACACACTGCCCTTCCCGTCGCCCAGGTGCGCCTTGGCCCAGCCCAGGGGCGCGGGGAGGTAAGTGGGGACAGCTTAGCCCAGAGCCCACATCCAGTCTCCGCCTTCCAGTCCCACCCCGGAACCCGAGGAGCCACTACCTGGCACCGATCCCTTTCTGGAGACGCTCACACGCCTGGTGCGGACGCTGCGGGGGCCCCAAGCCCGGGCCTCGCCGCCACGCCTGGCCCTGGACCCTGCCGCGCTGGCCGGCTTCCCGCAGGGCCTGGTCAACCTGTCGGACCCTGTGGCACTGGAGCGCCTGCTTGACGGCGAGGAGCCCCTGCTGCTGCTGCTGCCACCTGCGGCTGCCACCACGGGGGACCCTACGCCGCTGCAAGGCCCCGAGTCCTCGCCGTGGGCGGCGGATCTGGCGCGCCGAGTGGCCGCAGAGCTGCAGGCGGCTGCCGCTGAGCTGCGCGGCCTCCCAGGGCTGCCGCCCGCCGCCCCGCCACTGCTGGCGCGTCTGCTGGCGCTGTGCCCCGGGGACTCGGGGGACCCAGGCGGCCCCGGGCGCCACTGCGCGCACTGCTTCTGCTATAGGCGCTGCAGTGTCTGCGCGCCGAGTGGCGCGGGAGGGAGTGGAGCGGGCCGGCGCGGGCACAGCGCAGCGCGGGGGCCAGGACCGCGGACGAGCCTTGCGCGCTGCGCGAGCTGAGTGTGGACCTCCGTGCCGAGCGCTCGGTACTCATCCCCGAGACCTACCAGGCCAACAACTGCCAGGGCTCTTGCGGCTGGCCGCAGTCCGACCGCAACCCGCGCTATGGCAACCACGTGGTGCTGCTGCTCAAGATGCAGGCCCGTGGGGCGGCTCTGGCGCGCCCACCCTGCTGCGTGCCCACGGCCTACGCGGGCAAGCTGCTCATCACCCTGTCGGAGGAGCGCATCAGCGCACACCACGTGCCCAACATGGTGGCCACCGAGTGCGGCTGCCGGTAACTCCGCGCCGCGAGTGGCGCCCCTGTCCATATTTATTCGGACCCGAATCATCACCCCAATAAAGACCACAAGCACACGGCTGAGGTGTCCGTGCACTTTGGGGGCAGGCGGGGCCTCCTTCAGCCAGCCCTCTTTTGGCGCGCGGGGCTGGGTCATCCGGTTGCACTGCCTCCTCCCTTCGCTACCCCACCCCTGTCTGAAGTTCCCATCCCAGTCATTCAGGCCCCGGGCTACAGCCGAGGTCGAGGTGCAAAGGAGCAGCGACGTGGGGGCCACAGCACTCGCTTTATTTCGCTAGAACCAGGGGCTACTCGGAAGATGTCCCGGGATTCCGGCGCGGGACCCAGGCCCGGCTCAGTCTCGCCCCTTCCCGGCGCGGTGCTTCTGGCGGCCCGGAGGCCAGTCCTCTGCGTTGGGGCGTCGCGGAGAGGCCCAGGCCTGCCTCTTCCTGTGCTTAGGGTCTCTGGAGTCCCGCACCCACGGTCGATGGCCTTCTTCTCGTGCCTTCCAGCGCTGGGGTGGGGGTTCCCGGGGCTCCCTGGCGGGCCGTGGCTTCTCCTCCATGGTCTCTCTTTCACTCTTCAGTCCGCGGCCTCTCCTTCCGCGGCCTCTCCTTCCGCGGCCTCTCTTTCTGCAGCCTCTCCTTGGGCCCCTCGTGGGCGAGGGGCGCGCGCTCCTCCCCAGCGGCCTCCTCAGGGTCCCCTTCCTCCTTTTCTGCAGCCTCTGCACTCCTGGGAACCTCTGTCTTCTCCTCTGCCTGCACCTGGGGCGCAGAGGGTCCCGCTGGGGGAGTCCAGGCCTCGGGCTTCAGCTGCAACGCAGTGCGGGTGGATGGAATCAGCGCAAACCCACCCCCCCAGGCACAGCCCCTTCCTCAAAAGAGGGCTCAGCCGCCCGGAGTCGCTGAAGGAAACGCTTACCGAGGGCGACGCCGGCTTCTTTGGCGCAGAGCGTGGAGGGACCCATGGCTCAGGGACAGGTGCAGGGGCGTCCGCCACTCCAACCACGACGTCTGAGAGGGGACGGGAGTGGGTGCGAATCAGCCGGCGCCAAGAGCCAGACCCGCGTCCGTCCCAGCCCTCGCCGCTCTACAGCGCCCTCTTCCGGGGACAGGTGGAGAGGAGGAGCCGATTTCTCCCAGGACTCGGAGCTGGGCTGCATGCCTCCGAGCCCTTGGAAAGAGTGCGGGTCCCCGCTGCTGCGGGCGCTCCCGTCGCTCCAGATCGCATTCCGGTTGCTAAAGGACCGGGCATATTTCTCCGCGGGCTGCAGGCCGCCCGTGGCTCATCCTGGGCGTGCAAGGCCCCTGGGGAAGTGGGGGGAGCATTCACCGGACAGGGAGGTGCACCAAGCTCCTTACTGGGAGGGGAAGGTTCCCCTCCACCACTGCAAGGTCCAGGGGGGTGCGGGTCGAGAAGGAGGCACGCAAAGCCCATCCCGGAGAGAGGGGCCCGGGCGGACCTTGGAGGTGCACAGAAGAGGAGGACCGCGCACAAGGTCCATGCTAGGGCAAAGGAGTCGCGCGAGGGGAGACGGGGCAGTGACGTGGGCCTGTCCATCAGGAGGGGGACGTGTAAGACTCGGGCCCGGAGGCACAGGCTCACCGCGACACAGCTGGAAGGCTGAGCCCAGCAGCGCCACCAGCGAGGCGAGCACCAGGCACTTGTTGAGCGTCAAGTCTCCCCAGGGTAGCTCCTCGCTCAGGGCCGGGGGCGGCGGCGGCGGCTGCGGGGGCGGCGCGGCCTGCGTCTTCTTGCGCGCGGGGCTCCTGGGGGCTTCAGGAGCAAGTGTTAGGCTGGGCGCGGTTCCCAGGGGCGGACCTGCACCCTAAACCCGGCCCAGCCCTGCCTGGCTGTGTGGCCCTGGGCAGGGGACTAATTTGGCAGCTTCACTGGTTCTCTTATGCGGAGAATATTCCGGATAATTAGCTGAAGCTTAGTAGCACCTTAGCTGGTGTCATAATGAATTAGCAGAAGCTCCCAGACCTTCTAGTTAGTACCTGTGACACCTGGTCACCACTCAGCCAGGAGCCAACATTGCAGCACCCGGTTCCCCCAGATCCACCCAGTCAACCTAGGACCAACTCCCCACGTCAGTCCATACCCACCCCCCACTTCACCCCTGCCTCCTGCAAACCGACTTGCTCCTGCTTTCAGCCTCTCCTTGCTGGGTCCTGGGGCCACTTTGGCCACAGACTCCTTTTCTGTCTTCTTGGGCCTGGCATCCACTTTACCCGCAGGGTTACCCTCAGCCTCTGGCTCCTGAGAATCCTGTGGGGAGTCACCAGTCATCTTGGGTATTTCCTTTCGGTCTTTCCTCTGGGGGAGCCCAACACCTTCCCCTGGACTGTAGAAACCCACCCTCCTTGGCCAGTGTGTCCCTGATTCCAGGGGAGCTCCAGCTACTCACGTGGGCCCAGCTGCTGGAGTCCGCCAGCCTGGGTGTCACTGTTAGTGGGAAAAGAGGAAGACTCAAGGTCGTGGGGATCCTCAGGCCAATCCCACCCTCCCCCAGGCTCTGCTGGACGCGGGGCAGGTAATTGCGCCCACTTTACAGATAGGAAAGCAAGGAGGCACACAGCAGTTTCCTGGCAGGCTGGGATTAGAACCCCAACCCGTGTGTCCCAGCCCCTCTTTACCACAGGGGGGGTGGGGGGGAGCGCTTCTTATAGACCCCTGAGGCACCAATGAACCAGAGGTGGGAAATGGGGGCACAGTTCACAGTTAAGCCAGTGTGAGGGTCCCAGTCCTGGTCTCTGAAGGGGAGCCATCTTCAGAACCGGGGGGGGGGGCATGGTCTTCACCCTGCCAGCACCCCCAAGGATATCGCCAGCCCGGTTCTCCTGGGGCCCGCCTGGTCAGAGATCAGGCAGCACAGAGAGGTCCTCACCCGCCTGGCAGCTGCCCAGGCCTCCATCAGGCTTCTCCAAGGCCATGGTTGTCATGGAGATGTCTGGGAAGCAGCAGGTTCAGTTCAGACTGGAGCTGTGGAGGGGGCGGGGGATGGGAAAGAGGGACCTTGCATTTACTGAGCCCCTGAGTGGGCCTGGGCCTGACCTGGTGGGAGGATCCTGAGTACATGTATGACCCAGCCTCTGCCTCCGCCCAGCCCCTTTACTTGGCTGATCCATACTCACCCAGGGCTTGGCCCAGGTGCACGCCCCGACCCCAGGTCTGCCTTGGGACCCCTCCCCAGTGGCTAGTCTCTCTGGGGCCCCAGCGTCCCTGAGTACACAGTAGAGGCTGCTGTGACCCAGAAAGGATTAGGATCCACCCAAAGTCACAAAGAGATGAGCAAAGAGCTCAAACCAGAACCCTGGGCCCCAGGGTCGGCTCATGTTCTCTGAGACCAGGGACTATTTTTATCCGTTGCCCAAGAGCCATGGGAAGGGCCAGCATGTGGCTGGCCCATCCCCTTCCAGACCTTTCCCCCCCTAGGGATCTCCCTCTGGACCATTCTCACCTGCTATACCTGGCACCCAGTCCCCCCCCCCCACCCCGTGCCCCGTTCCCTAAATCTAGGAGCTCAAGTTCCAGCAGCCAGGACCAGCCTTGCTCTGGCCAAAACAGGCAGGGGAACGGTGAGGGGGTCCTGGGGGCCTCTCTATCCCAACACTGGGGTCCGTGAGGCTAAGGATGGAGGTACTGGCCAGAGGTCGTACAAGAGCCCGAGGTCAAACCCAAGTCCGTCGGCATCGCAAAGCCCTGCTTTCCGGGATCCCCAGTCCCTCCGGCTGCCGGTGCTAGTGTGTCCCATCCCTGGGCAAAAAGGTGACTCTTCTCTGAGTCTGGAACAGGGCAGTGGGGGGGCTAATGACCAGGGGGTGCACCCCTAGGTGTGTAGGGGGCAGCCACAAGAGTTGGGGACCCCCATGGACCTCAGAGATGCCCTCCCCAGACCCCCGGAGATGCTCACCTCCACCCAGGCCTCCTCCTACTCCGCTTACTTCACAGCCACCATGCTGGGCCTGGTAGACGGGATGGAGATGGAGGGTGACTCCTGGAAAGACAGCAACAGGTGGCCAGAGGCAGAAGGGTGGGCCAATCAGCTCTGTGGCTGGAGCAGGAAGGGGAGGAGAGCCAGGCACAGCTGGGGCGTCCTCCCCCCACCCCCGCTGCTTGCAGGAGGGCCAGGCATTGGCTGAAGGGTGACCCACCCCCACTTCAGCATAGAGTCACTGTCAGGCTGGCCCTGGTAACCTGGGAATGTTCTCTCCTGTCCCTAAGCATCAGAAAAAGGGGCTCTAGGGGTGAGAGCGCCATAAAAGGTGGTCCTCTTGCCTTCTCCCTGTGGATTCTGTCAGCAAGGCTTTATGAACCATGGGTGTGTGCCACCCCCATAGCTGGCCTGACCTGCGGAGCCCAGGACAGCAGGGAGGGCTTCCTGGAGGACACGGCCCCCTTGGGAAAGCTGGGCTCCGTGGCTCTTCTGCAAAATGTGCTCACTTCCTGCCGGGGACAGTGAGGCTGAAGTGAGTTACTCCGTATTGAGTAAACACTGGGTAACCGTAGGCTGTGTCATGCCACCTAGTCACACTCTTGTTTAGTCCAACATCAAATACTCCACCACCCAGCCCAGCCTAGCATTATGGGAAATTATTTTGTCATTAAAAAAAAAGTAACAGCTTTATCGAGATACTATTTACACACCATACAGTTTACTCTTTGAAAGTGTACAATTCAATGGTGTTTAGTACAGTTCTGCCACTGTCACTTCTATCTAATTCCAGAACATTCCATCACCCCAGAAAGAAACCCGTCCCCATTAGCAGTAGCTCTACAAACCCTCATCTCCCCCAGCCCCTGGCAACCTCTAACCCAATTCCTGTCTCTGTGGATTTGCCTGTTCTGAACATTTCATGGAATCACACACTGTGTGTTTTGTGTCTGGCTACACACACATATACAGTATAAGCACAGATATTAAAAATATGCACAGAATTAAGGAAATAGTAAAGAAGTTATTGGCCAGTGCTACCTTGGAGGAAGTTAAAATGAAGCAGATTTGTGAAAAGGTATATGAAGATTATCCTGCTTATGACTTAACTGAAAGAAAAGGTTTTCATAAAAACAACTGTTCAAGAAGGTGTATATATATATGGATACATATATATATGTATATGTATGTGTGTGTTTGTATGTATGTGTGTATAGGGGCCGGGCCTATATATATATATCTATAAATACCCCCGCGCGCGACACACAATACAGGGGTAGTGGCCCGGTGCACGAAAATTGTGTGTGTGGGGGGGGCAGCCTGCACCCTCTCCAATCTGGGACCCCTCAGGGGATGTCCGACTGCCAGCAGTTGGACATCCCTCTCGCAATTTGGGACCCCCTGGCTCCTAACCGCTCACCTGCCTGCCTGCCTGATCAACCCTAACCACTCTGCCTGCCGGCCTGCTTGCCCCCAACAGCCCCCCCTGCCGGCCTTCTTGCCTCCAACTACTCCCCCCCCGCCCCCCCACCAGCCTGATCGCCCCTAACCACCTCTGCCTTGGCCCACCACTATGGCTTTGTCCAAAAGGACGTCTGGAAGGTTTTCCGGTCTAATTAGCATATTACCCTTTTATTAATATGGATTTTTAATTGATTTCAGAGAGGAAGGGAGGGGGAGAGAGAAATAGAAACATCAATAATGAGAGAAAATCATTGATTGGCTACCTCCTTCATGACCCCCACTGGGGATCGAACCCACAACCCAGGCATGTGCCCCTGACCAGAATCAAACCCAGACCTTTCAGTCTGCAAGCTGATGCTCAATCCACTGAGCCAAACCGACTAGGGCAAGAGCTAATTTCTTGAACTAGAGCAGCGGTTCTCAACCTGTGGGTCTCGACCCCTTTGGGGGTCGAACGACCCTTTCACAGGGGTCGCCTAAGACCATTGGAAAACACATATATAATTACATATTGTTTTTGTGATTAACCACTATGCTTTAATTATGTTCAATTTGTAACAATGAAATTGGGGGTCACCACACATGAGGAACTATATTAAAGGGTCGCGGCATTAGGAAGGTTGAGAACCCCTGAACTAGAGGATAGAGACAAATAACTTGTTCCATGGATTTAAAGATATAATTTATATCATTACTAGAGCCCTGGTGCACGACATTCGTGCACTAGTGGGGGAGGGTCCCTCAGCCTGGCCTGTGCACTTTTGCAGTCCAGGGGCCCTCAGGAGATGTCTGACGGCTTAGTCCGGCTCCCCGTGGAGAGGCTCATGCCACCGCCACTGCGCTCGCCAGTCATCAGCCGCCTTCTGGCTGAGCAGCTCTCCCCCCGCGGGGCAACTCCTGCATTGAACATCTGCCCCCTGGTGATCAGTGTGCATCATAGCAACCGGTCATTCCGCTGTTTGGTCGATTTGCATATTACCCTTTTATTATATAGGATACTAGCAGAGAATGTATTTCCTTTTCTAAATCCTCCCAAGCACTGGTAGAATTTAATGCTGACTTTTGATCTTGAGAGTTACAGAATTTGAGTTTGCCATTTTAAATTGCATTTCTTTTTTCTTGTGTGTTTTTTTTGTTAATCCTCACATGAGGATATTTTTCCATTTTTAAAAAATATATTTGTATTGATTTCAGAGAGGAAGGAGAGAGAGATAGAAACATCAATGATGACAGAGAATCATTGATCGGCTGCCTCCTACATGCCCCCCGCTGGGGATCAAGCCCACAACCCGGGCATGTGCCCCTGACCGGAATCTAACCAAGGACCCTTCAGTCCACAGGCTGACACTCTATGCACTTGGCCCAAACTGGCTAGGGTTCCATTGACTTTTTTGAGAGAGAGGAAAAGGGAGAGAGGGAGGAGAGAGAGAGAGAGAGAGAGAGAGAGAGAGAGAGAGAGAGAGAGAGAGAAACATTGATGTGAGAGAGACACATCAATTCATTGCCTCCCGCAGGTGCCTGGACGTGGGCAGGGATTGAACTTGCAACCCAGGTACCTGCCCTAGACAGGGCATCAAGCCCTCAACCCTTCAGTGGGCAGGCTGACACTCTAACCACTGAGCCACACACATAGTCCGGGGCTTAAAATCACATTTTTATGCAATTTTTAGTTTAATACTTTGCATGGCCATATTGTTCCTGGCTTTTATAGTTGTGTTTTGTACATTTCGGATTTCTTTATATAAGGTCATAGATTCTTGAGCTGTTGTAGTTTTGAGTACAGTTAAAATTAGTTTGTTTAAGACCTATTTTTAATCAAGTAGGACAGAAACTATTATAACTGGCTTCATACATGCAGAAACCAGTGCAGTATTTATTACATGAAATATTTTTAATACACATCTGTCAGTGTAAAAATTCAGTGGCAGAGTGTTCATATTAAGAGTATATAAGCTTTGCCCTACCAGTGTGGCTCAGTGGTTGAGCGTCAACCTATGAACCAGAAGATCACGGTTCGATTCCCAGTCAGGGTGTTACAGAAAACCAGAGAAGAACCAAGCAACGCTTAGAGAGATGGAGTTACATTTATTATTATTATTACGCGCGGGCCCAGAGGAAAATTTCTCACAAATTCTGGGCGAAATCACACAGGAAGTTTCCTGTATTTATACCATCTTACCCTCTTTGTCTCCAAAGTATGGGGTTCTGTTCCAGTCCCCTTTGCAAGTTCTTAAAGAGCCCCTATGTGCTGGGGCTTTGAGACCTCGACCAAAGGCTTGGCCTGACGCCAGCACTGATAACTTCGTCTGGGGAAGGTTTAATGGCCTCTCTGAAATGGGAGTAGTCTTATTTTCCTTATTATTTAAGCCAGCAAGCATTCCAGAAGCCAAAATGCAGGGTTAAAATTTCAAACAGCAGTTTCTATATAAGACGGATGCTTCAAAGGCATGTGCCTGGGTTGTGGGCTCGGTCCCCAGTAGAGGGCATGCAGAAGGCAACCAATCAATGATCCTCTCTCATCATGTTTCTCTCTCTCTCCCTCTCTCTTCCTGCCTGAAATCAATAAAAATATAGTAAAAAAAAAAAAAAGAATACATAAGCTTTGCCCTGGCTAGTGTTTCTCAGTGGTTAGAGTGTCACCCTTGGACCGAACAGTTTCAGATTCGATTCCCAGTCAAGGGCACCTACCTGGGTTTTGGGTCCACTTCCTGCCCTGGAGTGAGGTTTGTGTGGGAGGCAACCAGCCCATGTGTCTCTCTTACATCGATGTTTCTCTCTCTTCCTCTCCCTTCCTCTCTCTCTCAAATCAATTCAAAACAAAACAAAACAGACGAAAACAGCCACCCGTCTGAGACAGGCCCTGCTATTCTGGCGCAGGCCCTCTGGTCCCTGGCGGGTGTTTTCACAAAGCTGTCGCAACACCACGGACACCTTATCACCCCCCGCAGATGTGCGTGTGGATCTGTGGCCAAATCGCAACGGTTTGAAGCCTTCCTTGGCCCTGCTTCTCCCTGAAGTATGTTTGATGCCTCTTTAAACTAGTCGTTCTGTTTACTTCCCCTTTTTCTTGCTGCTTGCTCAAGAGTTTCTCCTCCCCCTCCCCTCCCCCAGCAAGAATAATGTTAGGAGAAGAGGCCAGGCTTGAAAATAACAGCAACCATGATGAAAGGTGATCCAATCAATCATTAAAAAAAAAAAAAAAATATATATATATATATATATATATATATATATATATATATATTTTTTTTTAAATTGATTTCAGAGAGGAAGGGAGAGGGAGAGATAGAAACATCAATGATGAGAGAGAATCATTGATCGGCTGCCTCCTTTACACTCCCCATGGGAATCATGCCTGCAACCTGGGCATGTGCCCTTGACTGAAATCGAACCTGAGACCCTTCAGTCCGCAGGCTGACTCTCTATCCCGCTGAGCCAAACTCGCTAGGGCCTCATCCTTTTTTATTGTTACTCTTTAGCATTTTATTATGAAATTTTTCAGATATATAGAAAGATTGGGGGAGTTTTACAGTGAAGGCTCACATACCTGCTATTTAGATGCTACAGGTGATATTCTGTTGTGTTTGTGCTATTCCGTCTTTGTCTGTCTGTCCATGGCTTCATCAACCCATCTCACTTTTTTTTTATCCTCACCCCAGAATATGTTATCGTATTGATTTTTTTTTTCTTTTTAAGAAAGAAAGAGAGAGGAAGGGAGAGAAAGGGAGAGAAAGATCGATGTGAAAGAGAAACATCAATCAGGTGCTCCCAGTACATACCCTGACCAGGGATTGGACCCGAAACCTAGGTATGTGCCCTGACCAGGAATGGAACCTGAAGCCTTTATAGTATGCTCCAACCAACTGAGCCACCCGGCCAGGGCTCAACCCATCTCACTTTTGAAATTACATTTCGAAGTCAGTGGCAGGCATGGAACCACTTCAGCACACACACCATGTCCTAGAGATCAGAACCTGTTTGTGGCTTTCATGGTTAGAAGTTTACATGAAGTGAAATGTAAAATCTTTTTATATATATATATATCTTTATTGATTTCAGAGAGGAAGAGAGAGGGAGAGAGCGATAGAACATCCACGATGAGAGAGAATCACCGGTCCGCTGCCTCCTGCACACCCCACACTGGGGATCTAGCCCGCAACCCAGGCATGTGCCCCTGACCAGAATCGAACCCGGGACGCTTTGCGGTCCGCAGGCTGACGCTCTATCCACTGAGCCAAACCAGCTAGGGCGAAATGTAAAATCTTAAGTGCACTGTCAGATGGTGTTTGTCGAATACACGCACCAAATGTCACCCATTTGGTGACATTCCCATCATCCCATGTAGGAGTCTCCTGTGGCTGCTATAAGAAATCACCATGAACTTAGTGGCTTCAAACAACACATTTATCATCTCACAGTCCTGGGGTCAGGAGTCCCACACAGGGTCTCTGGGGCTGAACCCAGGTGTGGGCGGGGCTGGTCCTTCTGGGGGCTCCAGGGAGAATCATGTCCACCCTTTCCAGGCTCTCGGCTCTTCCTCCATCGTCACAGCCAGCAGCACAGCCTCTTGCATCTCCGACCCTGACCCTCCTGCCTCCTCTTATGAGGGCCTTTGATGCCCCGGGCTCCCTGGTAATCCGGAGTCATTCCCATCTCAGGGGCCTTGGCTTCCTCTTACCTCTGCCACATGCGGTGACACATCCACAAGCCCCACAGATTAGAAGTAGATATCTTCGGGGGTTCTTATTCAGTTGAATATACTTTGCAAGTCTTTTTTTTTTTTTTTTTTTTACGTCATGGTGAGATCCATGGCCTCCTCTACCCACCCCCATATGCAGACGCCTAACCTCGCCACACTGATTTCTACAGGACCCCGGGCACAGAGCCTCCATCCTTGACATGCCCTTCCCACAACCTCTGCTGCCCCTTCTCATCAGCTCAGCTCTCAGCACCTCTAGGAAGCCGTCCCTACTCCCTCTTTCCCGCGCTGCAGTATGGGGGCCCCTCACCTCCTGTCGACTCCCCTCTCCTAGCAGGGCACCTCCCATCTGTCTGCCTTCTCTCTGTCCCCAGTGCGGACCCTGTGCCTTACCCACCCTGGCCTGCTGAGCATGGTTTCCCCTCTCACAGACGCAGCATTTGCAGGGGCCCCCGGATGAGACAGAGGAAAGACAAAATGACATTTGGGGGGATGCGGGGCAATGTCTGAGGACATCTGTGGTTGTCACAAGTGGGGGTGCTGCTGGCATGGAGTGGGTGGGGCCAGGGATGCTGTTAACCCCCCAGAGCGCCAGGACGGCTTCTCAGAGCGTGGCCCGGCCCAGATGTGGAGCGTGGGAATCCATCTCTGCCTCAGCAACCAGGTACTGCCTGCTCCGTCACCAAGGTCCACCAGCGGCAAGTCTTTCAGTGCCGGTGACACCCGGAAGGAGATTCCCGTCTGGCTTCAGTGTTCACAACCTTAGGGGTGGCCAGGACCTCGGTCCCCGCCCCACCACCACATCGGCGCAAAGCAGACAACATGCCCACCTTGCCTCCCACGTGTGAGTCTCCGGTGGCTGCTGTGAGACATGACAACAGGCAGAGGCAGCTGTGTCAGAACCGGAGCCCACCGTCCCCACAAGGGTGACACCACACTGCTCCTCACCTCCCTGCCCTGGCTGGGAGCCCTCAGGCAGCGTGACCCCCTCTAGTGACTTTTCTCAACCTGCCCTACCCTGGCCCCAAACGCACCCCCTTCCCCCTCCACCCCTGCAAAGAGCAACCTGCTTCTGTTTGTTTTCCAAGAGGCTACATTTCCCTCGCTTTCCACCCATGATGATTACAAACTTAAGTTTACTTTGGCCGGAAACAGCACAGGGCCTGCCAATGAAGACAGAACCCTCCCCACCCCAAGTCCCGAGTCCCAGGGTCCCGAGGCTTCTGCGGAGATCTTGGAGACACCCCCCTGGGACAGTCTTTTCGGGGCTGCAAGCCCCCTGTGTTGGGGGTCAGCCGGGATCTGGGTCACTCTCTGGCCTCAGTCATGGTGGGTAAACACAGTGTGACCCAGGGACCGGTGGCCAGCCAGCGGCAGGCCTGGATTCTGGACTCTGGGCCCAGCAGCGCCTGTCCGGGTAAGACACTGGAGAGCTATGAAGAAAGAAAAAACAACTTTCAAAACCGGGGTGCTCTCCCCGCTTCAAGAAAACGTAAGGCCTAAATAATAACAAGGGTACTGATTCTACAAATATGAGGATACTAATTCTACACCTGGGGTGTGGGCGTGAGCCCGCCCAGTAAAGTGGGCGCCTCTGTAGAGAAGCTGGAAACGATGGTAGTTAACGGAAAAGCCACTTGCTTTATGTTTTCCCCAGGAGCTGCAATCCTACGCAAGGTCGCTGGTTACATATTTTTTTCTCCGGGAAAATTCTTTGGTTGGCCCGACCACTGCAATTGTTAGTGTTTTTGTTGTTGTTGTTGTTTTAATAATTGATATTACTGCCCTGGCCGGTTTGGCTCAGCGGATAGAGCGTCGGCCTGCGGACTCAAGGGTCCCGGGTTCGATTCCGGCCAAGGGCAGGTACCTTGGTTGCGGGCACATCCCCAGTGGGGGGCGTGCAGGAGACGGCTGATCGATGTTTCTCTCTATCCCTCTCCCTTCCTCTCTGTGAAAAATCAATAAAATATATTAAAAAAATAA